GGGATTAAAATATATTGCTTGCCTGAAAGGATTACAGCTGCAAAGACGGGCACTCACTGCAGATCGAAGGTGACCGTCTTGACGTCTGCAATCTGTGCCGTCATTGCAAGTCATGTGAAAACGGCTATGACTACGTATGCAAACTCTTACTCTCGTCCGGTCTTGGTGTCCGATTGTGGTTACTGTTTTTACTATTCTCTAAGTATATTGCTATTGCGCATCCTCAATTCCAGGCCCTTCATCTTTGTTTGCGACTCCACTCTTTTGGAACGCACACAAAAATGATTAGATCTAGGATGTTCCATAGTTTTGTATTAAGTTTGTTCACTGAAGAGAGAAAGTTGAAAATCGAAAAAAATATTTTAGAAAAAGGGAAGTTCGCGCCATGTATAAGCTTGGGATTTGTCAAGTTGGTGGGTAGAAAGTCAGCGCACTTAACGGACGAATAGCTACATGATTGGGATTACAGTTTACGCTGCCATTGATAGAAAGTGTGCGCCACCCGACTCAGACCTATCGTAAGTTTGCCCCTCATCGCATACTGTTCACATCCAGCTGCTATTGACAAGCAGTTTAAATTCAACATCGCCTATCACGATTCCCTGATATCTGGTCGTCATTGAGTCCATATTGCTACGCTACTATGGGTACAGAAAATAGGATGAGCTGTCTGAAATTTGTGTTGCTGCTAGCAGACAGCTTGGTCCTGAAGGAATAACTAAAATAGCAGTGTGGCAGACAACCAACATTTCTGTCTGGCTTCCTCGTTCAACGAATACTGTCTCAATGTCATTCAGTTTCACAGGCAGCTGTTTCCGGTTCGCTGACCTACGGGCCTTTGACCAACTTCCACTCGCGCGCTCGCGTCTACGGCTGCCTAAAGGCCACTTTAAAACGCCACCCCCCCCCGGCCGACGCCGCATGAGCCAGTGTGCACGACACTCCCTCGGACACTCCTTCCCGACCACGCTGTTGCTCCACCTGCTCCTCCTCCTCCTCCTCGCCGCCGGGATTGAGGCTCACCCGGCGGGGCTCCGGATCCAACAAGGGCTACTAGCCAGCCAGCTGCCTGGGACAGTAACTCAGGATTCGGTGCACAACGCATCCCCCATTCTGGTGCCTTCTCTCTTTTCCATTAACTCAGATTCAAAATGATGATTAAAGTGCTGCGAACAAAATAACTGGTTAGACGCTACAGTAGCGGGGCAGATTTATTTGGCAATTCACCTTCTTCATTCGAAAAATGCATCAACAGCAACTTCCTTGGGTAATGTGAAAGTCGGAGGGAGGACAGTCCACCCTGGCAAAAAAACAATTCTAGCATAAAATATTAGCAGGTAAAAGACTAAAACTCCAATAAAAACTCAAGGATGAAAAATCCAAACGGGAGATCGTCATCGAAAATAAATATTCGAACCCAGAAATGTACAGCTTGAGCAATTTTTCGGGTTTCTCAACTCGAAAATCTTGGTCGGATGAGCAACCAGGGAATTCTGTGCAGCGTTGTGAGCATTAAGGTGGAGGATAGACTGTGCAGAATGTAATGTTCGTTCTGTCGGACGGACGGATGGATGGACGGAAGACGTAGGCTTGTCGAGTAGCGGGAGAGGTGGTGTAAAAGAGTCATCTGAACCTGTTCATTTATACCGTGAAAGTCTCAGGTCGACATAGCCGCAGCTGCCTTAACACCAGCAAGATCCATGGAACAGAAGGGTGCTAGGGTACCATTCAGCCGCAGGCTCTCCACACACAGCTTAAACCACAGAGGCACAGCTACGGTCTTGCGGTGCACAACAGATGCAAAGAGAATGATTCCAATGAGGATGAAGAGGAAGACGCGGAATCTGACCGCGTAGTTGCAGGAGCGTCGAGTAACCGTCGGCAAGTACGGTTCAACGGGGTAATCATTAGAAGATATGATTTTGACGAGGCCCTCGTCAGTGACGTCAGTGTCTGTATTAAAGGCAAAAAATAACATGAAATGGAGGAAGGGCGCAAGAAAGGAAACAACAAGAGGACAGCAGCCGTGATACATAAGAAAACCTCAGACGATGTTTCGATTTCCCGTTGACTGAGTTAACATAATGACGGAGGACGATCATCAATCTAAATAAGACCTTATTCTGACTCGGAAGACAAGCTAATTACCAGGTCGCCCAGCGAAGGCTCATTTAGAAGGTCAGCCGCTAACACCACATAGGAGGCCATGAC